AAAAAAAAACCAAACCAAAACCCAAAAACAAGATAGAAAAAAGAAAAATGTGTATATCCTCACCTATAATTTTTTTTTTTGATATAAGCTGTGTAGGTTTGCGTCGATTACTTTCTCGAGCTAAGCAACTGGCCACTTTGACTTAAATTGGGTTAAAACATATCCCTAAGAGACAAGGTTGATTTGACTTGGTAGTTTTTTTAACTACCAACTCATCTAAAAATTTAAGATCAGGTGTGTAGGCTATATTTTGGAACCAAAACGTGAAAGTCTTAATTACCATTGTGCGACAGGTATACACACGAAGTTGCAATAAAATTAGTGGATGCATGTAGATATCAGTAAAAAATAATGCTACTTCAATTTACTCATTCCGTTTCTAAATATCTATCGTTTAAGGTTTGCACAGGGATTAAGAAAGTTATTAAATAGTTCTAATATGAGTAAAAAATAATTACGCAAGACTAAAATACCTTTATTCAATACGTATTGGGAAGGAAAGGAATATGAAAGACACTTAACTTCCACCAAATTTAATGCATTGAAAAGTTAAGGGTAAATTTGAAAGAAAAAATATTAATTATACTTTGGTTTCATTAAACGACAGATATTATAGAACAACAAAAATTATGTAAAACGACAGATATTTAAGAACGGATGGAGTAATTTTTTGAGTTAACTAATTGTAATTATTGGATTGGAAGCTAGTCCTAACATTAGATTAAATGCAATGTCGATCTAACTAAGTTAATAAATTAGTTCCAAGTAATATTACTGACTTGTAAATAAATAGAGTTTTCACTCAATATATATGTTATATAAACCAATGAAGATGGAAAAATAGTATAAGGTTAATTTGAGGTCGAGAAGAGCTAGGTTGGTTTGTTAAGATTAAAAAAAAACTTCCACTTCTTTTTAAAACCATTGATAGTGACTGTGCGCGTTGATTTTCGCACAATAGATGAAATAAAAACAGATCTCTCCCCTGTTGAATTCGTGTTCGTCGAGAAGGTTGATGATCCCATGGCAAAGGAAGAAGAGAAATGGCCAAAGGAGCCTAAGTAGTGATGATGAATTGCTTTAGGGGCTATTTGATCGATCTCGGTGAGTTACAGGTTGTTCCTGGTATACAGAAAACAAGTTCGAAGGATGCTAGAGTGTTTTTCGACGTATCCCCTCCGACGATCAAGTTAGTTCTTTGAGAGAGGGGAAGAAGAAAACACTGTATAGTTCTTGAGGGATGATGTTGTGTACCTTTGCTTCATATTTTTGGAAACTATTTATACCTCCAAAGGCTCATCATTACTAATGGCCTAGCCAGTAGGTAGTACCTAAACATAGGGCAGTGTGCTTCCTATTTTGCATGGGGGAGATCCCGTAATTGATTGCTCGGGGCTCCCGAGAATTTAATGCTCTTTCTTCGATGTAAAGACCTTAAATGCTCGGAGCCCAGAACATTTAATACTCCATATCCTCGGCTTCCTAAGCTACTGTGGACGTCCCATCACTGAAGATTCATTAAATACTTGCCTGAGATATCCGTAAATCAGCAGGGGTATTTCCATCCATTTACCCCTCATCATGCACTTTGTGCCACATGTCTAACTTTTCTTGTTTGAGTGTCTGGTTCGCTATGCTGTTTTGACTCCATTGGGCAGAGTACCCTCATGACTTCTAGTCTAGTTTAGACTGTTCAGTTGTCAATTAATACCCTTTTCAGAAGACGAAGATTCGTAGCAAAATAAGAGTTTTTTCAATAAGTATCCTCGGAGCCGAGGACATTTGGCTCCCTCGGAGTGGAGGTACCCCTGGAGCCGAGACATGCAGGACACATGTCTGTCATGGAGAAGGGGAGTACCTTGACACCAAACACAAGTACTTGTGGTAGAGCGACACACGCGTTCGGAGCCGAAAATACGTATCTTTCCCATAGCAAAAACGTGCCCTCGGTGTCGAGGACACGTGTCATTATTAAAATAAAAGTGTTACCTCGACGCCAAAGACACATGTCGCCATCTACTCCTCTCTCAGAAATGTCCCATCAATGACTATAAGATAATATGATGGATGATCAATCAAGGTTGGATTGTTGTGTAGACTAGAAATATCTTAGGCCAGTAACTAAAAATGGATGATAAAAGAAATAATCGTTCATAATGCAATGATTTTGGATTGTTGTGTTAAATTAATTCAATCATTTTTATATTTCATTCATATTATATGTTAAATGGATCTTGTGATCTTGATTCATATTTATAGTAGTGTCTTCATGAGAATGAATACATAATTCGTTTCAAAAGTCTATCTTCAACCAACACAACATAGTGATAAAAATTCTCTATGGTAAATCATTATTGCAATTTACATAGAGTAAATTCATTTTTGCAACTATTTAGTACTATCTGCCACAAAAAATATTGGTTGTAAAAAAGTACAATTTCCCGTTATTTTCCATGCCAAAAAAAATGGGAGGGAATCTCCATTTTGCGACATACTAAGAAAAACGTTGCAAAAAATATTATAAAAATAGGTATTTATGACGAAATTATAAAATTATTACTGATAGTATAATTTGTGCGACGTATTTTTGATTTGCCGCAAAAAATAATTTTTTCTGTAGTGAATTATGAGGATAATTGGTAAATTAAAAGTGTAATAACAATCAACTTGGCCGTCTGGGTCTGAGCCCACAAATAATGTGCCATAACTAATGTGATGATATGTTCTAGACTTTAAGTTGAATTCA